TTGACTTTCCTCCTGTCCCACTATCATGCTCAGTCCCCGCTAGGGTTTCAGCAATTCCTCTTTATTACATTACCCTTGATCATGCCCTACCAGGCCTTCCACAACCTCCTCACCACCAATTTTGGATCATTTGTTGTTCCCTTGTCCCTGGGTTTCTTAACACCACTTCCTTTCCCCCCACTTCCCCTTCTCCCATGTCCCCCCAGAACTGTCAGTCCTGTTGTTTTCTCCTCCAGATTGTTCATCCCAGCCTATCTTATTTAGACAGACAGAAGGGGAGGGCATTGTTTATATCTCCACAGGAAAAGAGGGACCAGACTCAAGAAAAATTTTGTTCAATGTTGACAAGTGCTAAATACACCTGCCAACATTCTCCACATCCCCGAAACCTATGTAAAGCCCAGCAATTACCACTTACAGTCTTAATTTGGCCTTTGAAGGAGCCTGATAGTGCCCCTTAAACACACATCTTAATAAAGCTTATTTCAATTATGCAAATATATGAACATATCTTTAATAAAGTTCTAAAAAACGTCCTCCTCCAAATGAGTCTCAAAAAATACTGTTTTAAGCCACAGTCTTGGATGTTACTTTTCTTTTAGTAGAATAAGGTATCCTTCTGAACACAAACGCAGTATAGGAAAACCTGAATTTCAAGAAAGATTATTAAGTTTTGAGGAAAAATATTTACTACTGCCACCTATCAATTTTATAATTTAACTATAAGGTAATGACAGCTTTTCAAGATTGGATTATGTAAAACATTTCCTGGAACATTTAGTTTTAAATATTTACAACTTAAGAGCTTTTAAAATGTAATGTCTCTACTATGGAAAAAGGGATCTGAGGGGGAGTAATGCAAGAACACAGGTGGTATTGAGTGTGAGTGGAGGAAAGGAATTGAATCCATCTAAATTTCAAAAAAAGGGAATGGCTAAAGGAATAATGGCAGGTACATATGATGTGATATTATACATTATAGGCTTTATTAATACCCCATAACTTTTATAATCAGCAAAATTATAGTTCTATAAATATATAGATAGTCCGTGAAAAGTGTATTATGGACTCTAATTTTATACAATGGTCAATCGAAACTATTTTTCTTTTCCTTTTTCATTAGTTTTTTCCCCTTTTCTAACTACAGTACCACTTTACAATTCTAGCTCCAACTCTGACCTATAGCTAAACTACTTCTTTAGACACAATAATGGTTCAGTAAGGCAACAAGACGGCACTTTCATTTGTCCTCATACACCAACAAAACATCACCCGATTTTCATTTAAAAAGATAAATGCATGAAATTAGGAGGAGGCAACTACACAGACACATATCATCAGTAAACCATGTAAACAAAGCTTTTGATAGGCCTGCAATCTGGGAGGAAACCATGCATTTATTACCTTCCAATCCCCTCTGCACCGGAGTGCCACTGATGCACCACCGATTGATCCCACTCAGGCGCTGAGCCATTTCTGCAGCCTGATGAAATGAGAGAAATTAAGATTAAAAAAATACACAGGAGATTGGACATTCAGGAAAACCAGATGTCAAGTGAGAAGTGCCTACTCGTATTTAACAGTTATCACATTCATGGTTAGTGTCCTGGTTAATGGACCATCTTTTAGTACAGTGTTTCTCCTCAGAGGCTGCCCTGCTCCCCCAAAAGAGGAGGGGTAGTTCAAACCTAATACATCCCTAGACCACTCCAATCCTCGGATGTCAACTATATGATTTAAAAATTGAGTCTGGGTTACAGACTGGTCAAAGAAGACAAAATAAAGACGTAACAAATGAAAGTTGAATCAAAATTCTATTCTATAAAGTCACAATTTGATCTAAATCAACTCTCTCCAAAGTTATCAGAGCCTTCAAGATAAGCTTTCTTGTTAGTAGAAAACTTTATAAAAGTCTCTGGACAATTTACATTAATCTGTATCCCATATAAACTCACATCTTAAAAATAAATAAATAGATAAACTCACATCTTATTTAGATACATAAATGCCTACAGAGCAAAGATTCACAGAGTACAAAAATAATTCAGAGGGGTTCATACCATAAGAAAAGTATAATTGTAGAATGCTTAACAGCAAACTTTTGATCAATATCAACATTGTATGTGAACTACATATGGGAGTTTCAAAAAGTTCAGGAATAATGGAATTAAAAGATAAGGGAGTTTTTCCATGAACTTTTGCAGCTATCTTGTAGTAAAGAAATGATTAAATTTCCTAAAGACAATTTCCCCCTAGTACTTTCACCCACTCCTTGGTATGTTTTCCAGAAATTCTTACTTTTACAGTAGGACATTCAACCATCTGAGCTTCATCAAGGCAGATCCTCCACCACTCCACAGCGACTAGAGGGCTGGGGATGGCCATATAGCGCTTCTGCTTACGAAGACGACGCCCATCCTCACTGTTGCTATGTGGGATATCTACATAGTTCAATTCTGATCGAAGGACATCATAGGTAATGATAACGATATCTTGTTCTGCCAAAAAGTGAGGCTGTAAGAAGCCATCCTTCTTCACTCCTTGATATACCTAGTAAATAATCAGTGCAGACATAGGCATTTATAAAATGGTCTTCAACGATAAATGGAATCTTCATTTATTCAGTTGGGGAATCCTTTCTATTTGCTTAGGACCACCCAACACTTGAAAACACAGAATATATCCATCTGGAGAAAGAAACATTTTGGTGTGGAAGACTAATAGCATAAGCAAAAAGTGAAAGGAGCTATAACATAAGTAAATGTTCATGTATCATCACATCACTATTACTGAGGAATGATTAATTCTAAGGTTGAGAGGTAAATTCAGAGGAGTCAAAAGCTGAGGTAAATCTGGAAGAACATTGAAAAGTTCTCCTAAGTAAAAATTAACAAGTGGTTGAAATAAATAGGGTGTGTAAAAACACCACGGCATGAAAAATTGAAGCACTCGAGTAGTTTTTCAGTGTCATTAACTGTAGTTTGAAGAACAAACCGGTTAGAATTATTCCCATCTCACATATAACAAATGTAAAGTAACTTGCTCAAAATTCAAAGACCAGATTCAGCCTCAAATGTACTTATTCCCCTAGAAAAGAGCTCCTTATTTGTGGTTCCAAAGAGTGTAAAACTTATTGAGCAATACCATTAATATCATAGAAGAAATATAAGGCTTTCTATTCTCAGAAAGGTTTACAGTCTCAGAAATTAATGGGGACAATTCTACCCTGTCTTATAGGGTTGATATGAGTTGGAATAAATTTGGCAGCAAGTCTGGTTTTGAATCATAAATATATACAAAAAATATGAAAAAAAAAAAAGAAGAGAATTCCAAAACAGTTGCAGTAGTACACCACCAGTAGTGAAATGTCAGAAATTCAAGTTGAGTTCAGAAGATGTGGAACAAAGGATATAACTGCTAGGTCGGATAGACCTCTGCTAAAACTAGATTGTACCAGGAGATGCTTACCAGTATTCTATATATTGTGCAATGGTATTTGACTGTGTAGAGCATAAAAAATTCTACAGATTTCAAGGAATGGGAATTAGAGAACACTCAATTGTGCTTATGAGGAACCTGTACATAGACCAAAAGGCAAGTCATTCAAGTTGAACAAGGGGATACTGCTATTCTTGTTAGGTGTCCAGTGAGTTCCAACTGACAGCAACTGTCAGTACAGCAGAACTAAACAAGGCCTGCCTGTGGGTCACACTCAGAAATGTGTTTTATTTGAACCCTGCATGGTTTAAAATCCAGAAATCTGTGTGCCAGGTTGTATCCTTCTACCCTACTTATTCAATCTGTATGCTGAGAAAATAATCTGAATGAAAAGCTAAGCTGTATGGAGAACATGACATCAAGCTAGAGCAAGACTCATTTATAATCTGTGATCTGCAGATTGTGAATGTGAAGAGGACTTGAAGCACTTACTGATGAAGACAACTTTCAGGAAGAATTACACATCAACATAAAGAAAATATAATCCTTACAATCAGATCAATGAGCAACCTCATAATAAAGTTCAAACACAAACAAACCTACTGCCAACAAGGGTTTTGGTGGTTATAATATTTACAGAGCAGCCTCATCTTTCTTCCCCAGAGCTGCTGGTGGGTTTGATTCGCTAACCTTGCAGTTGGCAGTCCAACACTTACCTGACCAGGGCTATGTGACGTGATCTATGGAGAAAATATTGAAGTCATCAAGGATTTCATTTTACATTGATCCATAATCAAAGCAGATATAAGCAACAGTTAAAAAATCAAGTAGGTGTACTGCACTGGGAAAATCTACGGCACAAATCTTTAAAGTGTTAGAGCCAAGATAACACTTTGAAGACTAAAGTGTGCTTAACTCAGCCATGGTATTTTCAACGACCTCACATGCATTCTCAAGCTGGATAATAAATATGGGACACCAAAGTATAGATGCATTTGAATGATGTTGGTAAAGAATACTAGAATGTCATGGATTACAAGAACTGGAATACCATGGACTACCCGAAGACTGGAACTCCAGAACACTTCACTGTGCTCACACAGAATTTGTACTTTGATCAAGACAGTTGTGAGAACAGAGCAAGATAATACCGCCTGGTTTAAAATCAGGAAAGGTGTGCATCAGGTTGTATCTTCTCACCATACTCATTCAATCTGTATGCAGAGCACATAATCAGAGAAACTGGCTTATATGAAGAAGATTGGAGGAAGGCTTATTTACACTAGGTTTATGGGATGCACCATTTTGACATATTTCAATTTCCTAAACGAAAATTACAGAAATCATTTACATTTACTTCCTACCATTTATGCTGACTTTTATCCATTTAATGAGACAAATAAATATCCAAATTCATTTTCTTCTAAGTCTTCTAATCTCAAAATTCTTTGAGTCGTGTACCTATCTCTGTGGGTGCATATCAATCAGATGTGAACACAAACTGAGTATTAATCCCAGTAAATCAGTTTCATACAAGAAAACATTATAACAAGAAAACACTATAAGCATAGTCAAAAAGTTCTTAGAAAGTAAGCATCAAATGTAAAGAGATTGTCACACTGAACGACCCAAGTGACCCTTATGAACCCAAATATCTCAAATGTTGTATAATGTTATATAGTTTTATATATAGTGCCAAAGAGTTTCACTTATAAGTTAATAGTGTACAAGTATGTTGTTTTTAAAAGGAAATGTGTGGTTTAGTTAATGTGGCAATTCGATGCATGTCTGTAGAGGTGGAATGATAAATATCCGTCAACCTAGTCAGTGTTAACAACAATCCTAAAAAACCAAATGCCTTACCAAGACTCGAAGAGATGATGACTTCACATGTCTGTTGATCTCATCCACCCACTGGTGACAGATGGAACTTGGAGAGATGATCAGAGTGGCTCGGGTTGACACTGGCTCCATTGCAACAAGGCAGTGGGGGCAGTAAAAAGGTTTAATTTTCAGGTCTTTTTCTTCGTAGTTCACACATTTTGCATGCTGCCACAGGTGGCACCTCAGACACTGAACACGAGCCTTATGGTCTATTTGGCCAAGTTCCCCACATATGCACTCAAAGCGATAATCAGAGGAGTTAGAGGGACTCACGGTATCACAATGTGGCCTATCACTGTGATAATCAGAGGAGTTAGAGGGACTCATGGTATCACAATGTGGCCTATCACTGTGATAATCAGAGGAGTTAGAGGGATTCACGGTATCACAATGTGGCCTATCACTGTGATAATCAGAGGAGTTAGAGGGATTCAAGGTATCACAATGTGGCCTATCACTGCTAGCAAGCTTTGGAGATTCAGGTGCTTGCTTGACTTCAGAGACACATGTGCTTTTAGACATGGTGGCATCAGTAATTGCAAAGTCACTGGCAGTTGGACAGTGTCCTTGTGAGTCAGAATTTATGTTAGGTTGTTGGTTTTCTATTTTAGTAGATGGAATAGGCTTTTTCCTCAACTTACTATGATTTTTCCTAGGCTTATAATAATAATAATAAGGGTTATCATCATCATCAGAGGTGTTTGATGGCAAGTATTCGGAATCAGTGTCCTTGTTTCCTGATTTTGTGGATTCTTTCTGAACTTTCCTTGGACTCCATATTGCCTGTTAAAGAAAATAATTTGTTAATTATTTCATATGGGCAAGTTGGGAAATTAAATTCCCAAATATATCTACATGTATACATAAGATTTCAGCGTAACAGAGTATGCATGTCTAACATCCACTATGTTTTGGAATATACATCTGTAGTCCGAAAGGATATAATAGAGGTCAGAAATTCTGACTGTAGAAAAGGGCTTAGTAGGTAGGTGTACTTTATATGTGCAAAGGATCCAATCTTCTCACCAGTTCTCTAGGTCCCAAGTTAGCACAGATGAGAATT